GGTGGCATGTTGTTGTTTAGTCGTTTAGTCATGTCCGACTCTTCGTGACCCCATGGACCAGAGCATGCCAGGCACTCCTGTTTTCCACTGCCTCCCACAGTTTAGTTAAACTCATGTTGGTAGCTTCGAGAACACTATCCAACCATCTCGTCCTCTGTCGTCCCCTTCTCCTTGTGCCCTCCATCTTTCCCAACATCAGGGTCTTTTCCAGGGAGTCTTCTCTTCTCATGAGGTGGCCAAAGTCTTGGAGCCTCAGCTTCAGGATCTGTCCTTCCAGTGAGCACTCAGGGCTGATTTCCTTAAGAATGGAGAGGTTTGATCTTCTTGCAGTCCATGGGAGTCTCAAGAATCTCCCTCAAGCACCATAATTCAAAAGCATCAATTCTTCGGCGATCAGCCTTCTTTATGGTCCAGCTCTCACTTCCATACATCACTACTGGGAAAACCATAGCTTTAACTATACAGACCTTTTTCAGCAAGGTGATGTCTCTGCCTTTTAAGATGCTGTCTAGGTTTGTCATTGCTTTTCTCCCAAGAAGCAGGCGTCTTTTAATTTCGTGACAACTAATATTATGATGATGCCAGCTGCCACTGGGTAGATACGTTCTTGGCCAGGACCAGTTTCCCCAGGGAAGAAATCAATAGGCACCATAGACAAAAGCTGGCCAGAAACACCCATTTTTGCATAGATTCCGAGAATCGTCTGCCCAACCCCTGTGGGAAAGAAAATGCTGAACTGGTTGGTTCTGCAGAGCTTCAATCGTCTTCATATGTGCTTTGAGAGAAAAGGGATGTAAGGAGTTTTTTAAATAAATAAAAAAGAAAGGAAAGGGAGAAACGGAAATGGTCAGGGATTGCAATTAAACCCTCGTGGACTTTGGGCAAATGAGTCCAAAATCAGTGGTCTGAAGACTTCAGCCACAACATCCCTTTTCATTCAAGCTTCTGCTTTGCTGCAGGCAAACTTCACTGTTCAGTGTTTATTCTGCTGGAACTCGACACAGATCAGTGGGAAAGGACAGGGGTTTAATTTCTTCCATGTGTCCCACCAGCACCCTGGCTTTGTTCCCTCCCCGCTTCTTTAATTTAACGGTGGGGGGAGAGCTGTGGCTGAAGAGCTAAAAGGCCTAATTAGAGTCTATGTCAAAAGAAAAAAAGACAAGAAGGAGGGCAACTCAATTGATTCCTCCTGACCAAAAAGGAAGAAAGAACCGGGGCGGGGGGGAGGACCTTTAAAGCAGCCCAGCCTTCGTATTTGCTTTGGTATGAAATGGCAGGTCCACCCAGGCCGGGAGATGAAAACGGGGACATAGATGCATAATCATTCGCAATAATTTTATTATTTGTTCCCCATCCATCTGAATGGTTTGCCCCAGTCACTCTGGGCAGCTTGCAACATATATATGTTTGAATCCTGGAAAGATGAAGGTTCTTTGGTGGTTCCCGTTTCTGGGGGATAGGCAAGGTCTCCCTCCCTCTGAAGAAGAAGCAGGTATGCAGATTGGGGGCACTCCTGAATACATCTTTGTCACTAGAAGCTGAAATGTCTTCTGTGGCCAGGAGGGATGTCTACGAGTTTCATCTGGTCCATCAGTTGCAGCTGCTCCCTGGACAGAATGACCACTGGGTTGGTAATCTCTAGGCTGCATTATGGCAATGCGTGCAGTGTGGGGCTGCCCTTGAGCCTGGTCCAAAATCTGCAGCTGGTGCAGGCGATGGCTACACTTCTGATGGAGGTAGATAGCAGACATCATGGGACACCATTGTGAAAACATCTGCAATGGTTGCTTATCTGTTACCGAACCAGGTTGAAGGCCTTTGCAATAATTTGAAAGCCCTGAACAACTTAGACCCAGGGCATTTTTGTACATGATTTCCCCTGTTATGGGTATTTTTGCAAAGCAATTTTCTTTAATATAATGCAATTTTGCATGTTACTGTCGCTAATATATTATTATGTTTAATGCACATTTTGCTCTAATGTGCATATTTTTGTCAACAATACTACAACAATGCAGACGAAGGACTGCATTGCAAAATTTGGAGACGCACAAATCTCAAAGGATGGTTGCGTATTGTCTTGGAAAACAACACATTTATCCCCAATGACTACTATGTAACTACTCAGTGACTTGCTCAGGCTCTTGGCTTCTCATATACAGCAGTTCCAGGAAGGCCAAACCTGATCGGATCATAGATTTCTCCTTTTTCAAAACAAAAAAACAAGACAGCCAGTATGGGAAAACAAACTTCATTAATAACACACTGAACACTTTACAAGCAGATTCCTAGTTTGGTTTCTGGAAAGATAAACATGCGGTCAGATTCCACTTGTGGATTTTACCACCAGCATTTTAACACACAAACACACACAGAGAGAGATACGCAAACACACCTCCCTTTTATCGAACAGAGTTAAATGGATCTTGGTGGGGCTGCTTGTTTTCTCAAGCCATCTTCTCCTCCCCATTGCCTCAAATGACAACCAAATAAATAGAGGAGCCTCTGCCTTCAGCAGTGACTTCACCCCACACACATTGCAGGTAATTGTTTTTAGATTTATGGGCCGCAAGATGCCATCATTCAGCTTTTATTGAATAAACATTCTGTAAATAATCAGAGGTTGAGGGTGTGGGTGGTGAAACATGTTTGGGAAAAGGTGCAGAACACCTTTTTGCGTGTGGGAGGGGGGAGAGTAAACCTAACCCTCCCCTTGGCTCAGATGGGGCCAGTCATGTGCAGAAAAACCATTCGGAATTGGTCCATAAATCTGAGGCTGTGATTGGCATTGCACCAAGAACAGGCAGACAAGGTAACAGAGGAAGACAATGAGCTACTAGTCTGTTGGTCTTGAATGGGTGGGACGTTGTGAAGAGTTCAGGCCCAACAGTGGATCGATCACGCCAACACCTCCATTTTGGAGTAGAGGTGTAGTAAGCAGAGCCATCTTAAGCATATCCAGTGCCGTGGTGCAAAGATCCTTCCAGTGCCCCACCCCACCCCCGTTTCCCAGAGTTGTCGACCTTTACCCAAGCCTCTGTGGGCATCGCTCCCCTCCCGTGGGGGCTTGGAAGGCAAGTTGCATGCCCGCCAGCCATATGGTTGATGGGGCGCAGCTGGCGGGCGTGCAGGAGGGAAAGGGGAGGCCGCCGGCAAGGCTGCGCAGCTCCCCCACTCGCTGGGGCGCTCCTGAGAGGCCGGAGCCGTGGCACAACGCGCCAGTAAACTACAGTTACCAGATTTTTTTCAATGAATCTGGGGACACTTTTTTTTTTTTAACTGAGTAGCAACAGGGAGTCAGTAGTGGGGATGGTGAGGCAAAAAATCCTGGGCCCAAGCACACATGCATATTGTATAAAGCTGCAAAGCCCTTCTTTCACACCCTGTGAAACATAAATGCACAGAGTTTTTAAAAAACTGGGCAACTGCCCGCCGCCCTCCCGTGACTCCCGAGCCTCCCCCGATCTGTCAAAACAAAGGGGGAAGGGGGAAGGAGATCTGTGCCACCGGACGTCCCTGGTTCCCCTTCAGCAGTGGCGGCGGTAGTGGGCAGCAAGCAGCTCCTGACCTTTAAAGCCCTAAACTGCCTCGGTCCAGTATACTTGAAGGAGCGCCTCCACCTCTATTGTTCTGCCCGGACACTCAGGTCCAGCGCCGAGGGCCTTCTGGTGGTTCCCTCGCTGTGAGAAGCCAAGTTACAGGGAACCAGGCAGAGGGCCTTCTCGGTAGTGGAGCCCGCCCTGTGGAACGCCCTCCCACCAGATGTCAAACTACCAAATTTTTAGAAGACATCTAAAGGCAGCCCTGTTTAGGGAAGCTTTTAATGTTTAATAGGTTATTGTATTTTAGTGTTGGAAGCCGCTCAGAGTGGCTGGGGAAACCCAGCCAGATGGGCGGGGTATAAATAATAAATTATTATTATTATTATTATTATTATTATTATTATTATTAGCCAGCCAGAGCCAACTGCGCTACCAGGCTGGCACCGGGCTGCTGAGGCTGCCACTGCTACATTTCCTGGGGATAGATTTGCAAATCTGGGGACATTCCAGGGACAGATTTTGTCCGGGGACAGATTTGCAAATCTGGGGACGTCTGGTAACCCTACAGTAAACCCAATGGGAAAGATGGCTCTGGTAGTAAGAAAAAGAAAAAAAAGATTAGGATGGCAGGAGGTTTAGCAAGGTTAAGAGGAGACTGAAAGGTGATACAATAGCCATCTTCAAACATCTCAAGGGCTGTCACATGAAAGACGGAGCAAGCTTGTTTTCTCCTGCTCCAGAGAGTAGGACTCGAACCAATGGATTCAAGTTACGAGAAAGGAGATTCTGACTCAACATCAGGAAGAACTTTCTGACAGTAAGAGCTCTTTGACAGCGGAAAAGACTCCCTCGGGAGATGGTGGACTCTCCTTCCTTGGAGGTTTCAAAGCAGAGATTGGATGGCCGTCAGTCATGGATGCTTTAGCTGAGATTCCTGCATTGCAGGGGGTTGGAATAGATGAGCCTTGGGATCCCTTCTGTCAGGTTTAGCACTTTTCCCACACAAGACACGGTACGCTGGCAGTTTAAGTAGCTGAGGTTTATTTCTCAATAACAGGCTTACAGCAGTCCAAGCTTCCACAACTCATCCTTCACCATCAGAGTCAGTTGACGCGACTGGCTTCTGACCCCTCCCAAGGACAGATATACACCACGTCCTACCCACCTCCTGCTGGCCCACCTCTGCTCTAATTGCTTGTTCCACCTCCTACTTTTTGGTGACTCGGGTGCAGCCAATTCCTCCTCTGGTGATTCCTCTCTGCTGGCATCTTCCAGCTCTCCAATTCTATGATCCTGTGGATCAAAAGAGCCAGAAAGAGTGGAGAAAAACAGATAAGGTATTGCTGGGAGAGATCCGAGACAGCATAGGCACTACTGAACTACAGATGGATGGATGGATGGTCTAAGGCAGTATAATGCAGCTTCCTATATTCCTGGAGCTTTTGCTGGGGAAGCGCAGGGGGTGTAGCTAAGTGGAAGAGCATCTGCTCAGCATGCAAAAGACCCCAAGTTCAGTCCCTGGCATCTCCAGGTAGGGCTGGGAAAGGACCCCATTTAAAACCCTATAGAACTGCCAGTGCAGACAGTTCTGAGCTCAGTGGATCAAGACTCCGACTCTGTGTAAGTCAGTTTCCTATGGTCCTAAAAGTGCCCACCCCAAAACGTTGCGCGTTGTGGTTTCCAAAGCATCGCGCCACATCTCCACGCAGCATCTTTGATCCCAGGGGATTAGAAAGTGCTTTCCTTCCCTTTGCACAGGAGGTTCACCTACTTTGGAGAACTGCGGTGATGCAATCTGCGGGCTTAAAAGCCTCTTCTTGGGAAGCTCCAGCTGCTGGCTAATCCACTTACTTTGATAAGTGATCATATATTAGCTCGCCAAGCTTTCAAGGGGGGGAGGGGCATGCTTTGCCGTGATAAATGCAGCCCATTGGCAATTAACAAATATTGATCTCTGCTGCATTCAGGTGTTGCCTTGCTAATTGAACAGCTTCGCCTTCATTTTTAACTTGGTGCCTTTCCAGGTTCCACCATGGACTTTCGAAAGAGTGTGATATTATTATTATTATTATTATTATTATTATTATTATTATTATATCCCTACCTTTCCTCCAAGCAGCTCAAGGTGGCGTACATGGTTCTCCTACTCCATTTTATTCTCACAGCAATCCTGTGAGGTACATTTGGCTGATAGACAGTGGCTGGTCCAAGGTCACCCAGTGGGCTTCATGGGCAAGTGGGGATTCTAACCCTGGTCTCCCAGGTCCTAGTCAGACAGTTTAACCACGACATCATCATCAATATCATCATCATCATCATCATAATAGGCCCCCTAGAAAAAGCTCACTAAATATTGGGAGGCCCCCTAAAGAAAGCTTAACAATTTTGGGGAGGCCCCCTAAAGAAAACAACTAAATTTGGGGGCGCTGGGCAGATCTTTACACCACGGCCCTGCATATGCTAAAGACAGCCCTGACTGAACCCTTCCCTCTTCCCCACTCTTATCCCTGGAATGCCCTTCACACCAAGTTCTTCTTGCTCTGGAAGTGAAGCAGGTTGGGAAATGAACTACTGAAGCGAAGTGGGTCTCAGCTCTCCTTACCTGTGGGCCCTATGGATACTAAAATTAGACTCTCCTCTTCATATAGGAACAGGACACATGCAAATAACAAATGCTACTTTCATTTTCACCAGGTTGCACTCTTCTGTGTCCAGTATTGGAAACTATTTGTTCAATATATGTTCATCTAACACCATCAAAATCAATGCATGGTAATTCCCTATTGATTTGGGTTAAAGAGATGGGCTGCTTTGCGCCATTTGATGCTGATTTCTTGCGGTCAGCAACAATATAGCCCCCACCCCACCCTATAATGTCCTGATGGCTAGAGAACCTCGTTATTCTGTGCTTGCCTTCTACAATCATCTGTCGCTTGGTTCACGTTGCACCATCCGAAGCCCACAGCTTATCTGTGGATGTCTCTGGCCTGGCTCCATCTTGCTCCTTCTGCTGCTTGTAGCAATTTAGAGCTGAACGATGCCAGCCCAAGCTGGAAGGCGGCTTGATTTCTTACATGGATATGGGATAATGCATAAAGGATTCCGCCTTGGAATGCAGAAAATGGGGATGAACACCAAGGTGGAAGGGGTGAATAGGTAGAAGTGGCTCACTGAGTAGGGTGGAGCTGCTGATTTAGCTTCCCAGCAGGTGGGTCTCTGAGAGGGGGAGGTAGCTGTGAGGTCAGCACGGTGCAAACACATTGGCCAGGACACCTGATTGGCTCTGCCAATGTGTTTGCAGAAAGCAGCTCTGCCAGCATAGGGCTGGCAAAGTCCCTTGTGCAGTGGGCATTACTGTGTCAGGAAATGATGCATGTCTAAAAAGTGTGTCACCAACATGAAAAGCTTGGAAAGCTCTGCTTTAGACCAAGGGTGATCGATAGATTATTTAATTTCTACACCGCTTAATATATTAAAAAATATCTCTAAGCGGGATACAGAAGAAGACGAAGAGGAGGAGGAAGAGAAGGAGGAAGAGGAGGAGTTTGGATTTGATATCCCGCTTTATCACTACCCTACTACCCTAAGGAGCCTCAAAGCGGCTAACAAACTGCTTTCCCTTCCTCCCCCACAACAAACACTCTGTGAGGTGAGTGAGGCTGAGAGACCTCAGAGAAGTGTGACTAGCCCAAGGTCACCCAGCAGCTGCATGTGGAGGAGCGGGGAAGCGAACCCGGTTCACCAGATTACGAGTCCACTGCTCTTAACCACTGCACCACACTGAAAACCAACGCAACAACAAAGAAAGTATTAGAAAAAGACACTGTTACACATAAGAACATCAGTATGAAGTTACTAATCTATTTGAATCCATATCTATTCATTTTCCTTCTGACACAGTCTCCCACTCAGCCTCCGGGTTCTCATCCAGGGTCCAAGAAAACTCTCAGCTCGCCCACAAAAGTCTCACAAAAGTTCCTAGAAACAGCGGACATCACCCTAGTGATGTCTTGCTCTCCATTTGCTTCCATGGTGGATGGTATTTCCTTCAGGCTGCCCACAACTGTGTCCTACTTGGCGGCACCCTCCCCACCCTGTTCCAGGTACAGCAGGTTTGTCGATTTTCCCAGAGGGTCCAAAGGATAAGAAGAGGAGCCCCTTCCCCTCACTAGTCTTTCTTCACTCACTGCCCTCTCACCCAGCTGCTTTTATATGAGATTTGTACTCAGCGACTTCCTGGCCCTCAGCCAGGATTCAACATCTTTATCAACGACTTGGATGATGGACTCAAGGGCATCCTGATCAAATTTGCAGATGACACCAAACTGGGAGGGGTGGCTAACACTCCAGAGGACAGGATCACACTTCAAAACGACCTTGACAGATTAGAGAACTGGGCCAAAACAAACAAGATGAAGTTTAACAGGGAGAAATGTAAAGTATTGCACTTGGGCAAAAAAAAATGAGAGGCACAAATACAAGATGGGGACACCTGGCTTGAGAGCAGTACATGTGAAAAGGATCTAGGAGTCTTGGTTGACCACAAACTTGACATGAGCCAACAGTGTGACGCGGCAGCTAAAAAGCCAATGCAATTCTGGGCTGCATCAATAGGAGTATAGCATCTAGATCAAGGGAAGTAATAGTGCCACTGTATTCTGCTCTGGTCAGACCTCACCTGGAGTACTGTGTCCAGTTCTGGGCACCACAGTTCAAGAAGGACACTGACAAACTGGAATGTGTCCAGAGGAGGGCAACCAAAATGGTCAAAGGCCTGGAAACGATGTCTTATGAGGAACGGCTAAGGGAGCTGGGCATGTTTAGCCTGGAGAAGAGGAGGTTAAGGGGTGATATGATAGCCATGTTCAAATATTTAAAAGGATGTCACATAGAGGAGGGAGAAAGGTTGTTTTCTGCTGCTCCAAAGAAGCGGACACGGAGCAATGGATCCAAACTACAAGAAAGAAGATTCCACCTAAACATTAGGAAGAACTTCCTGACAGTAAGAGCTGTTTGACAGTGGAATTTGCTGCCAAGGAGTGTGGTGGAGTCTCCTTCTTTGGAGGTCTTTAAGCAGAGGCTTGACAACCATATGTCAGGAGTGCTCTGATGGTGTTTCCTGCTTGGCAGGGGGTTGGACTCGATGGCCTTTGTGGTCTCTTCCAACTCTATGATTCTATGATTCTATGATTCTAGCCCATTCTCTCCGTTTCTGTACTATCCAACATTTCTCCAATGAAAATAGGGACAACCTATTCCATCATAATTTTACTATTTGTACCCTGACCATCTGACTGGGTGACCCCAGCCACTCTGGATGGCTTCCAACATATATAAAACATAATAAACATTAAGCATTAAACAAAAATCCCTTCCCTATACAGCGCTGCCTTCAGATGGCCCGGGAGTTGGATAACTCCATACCCTCCAACATTTCTCCACTGAAAATAGGGACGTACCTATCATAGAATCATAGAATCATAGAGTTGGAAGAGACCACAAGGGCCATCGAGTCCAACCCCCTGCCAAGCAGGAAACACCATCAGAGCACTCCTGACATATGGTTGTCAAGCCTCTGCTTAAAGACCTCCAAAGAAGGAGACTCCACCACACTCCTTGGCAGCAAATTCCACTGTCGAACAGCTCTTACTGTCAGGAAGTTCTTCCTAATGTTTAGGTGGAATCTTCTTTCTTGTAGTTTGGATCCATTGCTCCGTGTCCGCTTCTCTGGAGCAGCAGAAAACAACCTTTCTCCCTCCTCTATGTGACATCCTTTTATATATTTGAACATGGCTATCATATCACCCCTTAACCTCCTCTTCTCCAGGCTAAACATGCCCAGCTCTCTTAGCCGTTCCTCATAAGGCATCGTTTCCAGGCCTTTGACCATTTTGGTTGCCCTCCTCTGGACACGTTCCAGTTTGTCAATGTCCTTCTTGAACTGTGGTGCCCAGAACTGGACACAGTACTCCAGGTGAGGTCTGACCAGAGCAGAATACAGTGGCACTATTACTTCCCTTGATCTAGATGCTATACTCCTATTGATGCAGCCCAGAATTGCATTGGCTTTTTTAGCTGCCGTGTCACACTGTTGGCTCATGTCAAGTTTGTGGTCAACCAAGACTCCTAGATCCTTTTCACATGTACTGCTCTCAAGCCAGGTGTCCCCCATCTTGTATTTGTGCCTCTCATTTTTTTGCCCAAGTGCAATACTTTACATTTCTCCCTGTTAAAATTCATCTTGTTTGTTTTGGCCCAGTTCTCTAATCTGTCAAGGTCGTTTTGAAGTGTGATCCTGTCCTCTGGGGTGTTAGCCACCCCTCCCAATTTGGTGTCATCTGCAAATTTGATCAGGATGCCCTTGAGTCCATCATCCAAGTCGTTGATAAAGATGTTGAATAAGACCGGGCCCAAGACAGAACCCTGTGGCACCCCACTAGTCACTCTTCTCCAGGATGAAGAGGAACCATTGATGAGCACCCTTTGGGTTCGATCAGTCAGCCAGTTACAAATCCACTGAGTGGTAGCATAGTCAAGACAACATTTTACCAGCTTCTTTACAAGAATATCATGAGGCACCTTGTCAAATGCCTTGCTGAAATCAAGGTAGGCTACATCCACTGCGTTCCCTTCATCTACCAGGCTTGTAATTCTGTCAAAAATGAGATCAGGTTAGTCTGACATGACTTATTTTTCAGAAATCCATGCTGACTATTGGTGATCACAGCATTCCTTTCTAGGTGCTCACAGACTGTTTGCTTAATGATCTGCTCCAGAATCTTCCCTGGTATTGATGTCAGACTGACTGGGCGGTAATTATTTGGGTCCTCTCTTTTCCCCTTTTTGAAAATAGGGACAACATTTGCCCTCCTCCAGTCTGCCGGGACTTCGTCTGTTCTCCAGGAATTCTCAAAGATGACTGCCAGTGGTTCTGAGATCACATCTGCCAGTTCTTTTAATACTCTTGGATGCAGTTCATCTGGCCCTGGAGACTTGAATACATCTAAACTAGCCAAGTATTCTTGTACTATCTCCTTAGTTATTCTGGGCTGTGTTTCCTTTGCTGAATCATTTGCTCCAAATTCTTCAGGTCGGGCATTGTTTTCTTTATCGGAGAAGACTGAGGCAAAGAAGGCATTGAGGAGTTCAGCTCTTTCTGTGTCCCCTGTTTGCATTTCAAACCTAAGGAAAAGTGGGACATTCCAGGTATAAATCAAAAACTTGGATGGCATCTGTAAATCATTGGACTGTCCCTAGAAAATAGGGAAGCTTGGAGGATCTGAGTTTCAGCGCTTAGTTCTCTAGATGTTCTTGGACTACAAGATCCCTGACAGAAATATACTCGGAGTCAAGAGTGGATTTCATGCTCTTTATTCAGCTCATAGTGGCGAGGAGGAATGGAAGTTCCCCCAGAATGTCTGCTTTATATACATTATTTACACAATGGGCCCCACGTGATTGGCTAATTCCGGGATTCACCTGTAGGCCAATCAGGTTGCGGATTCACTTCCACCTGGAGCTGGATTGGGTGACTCCTGTGGACCAATCAGACTGCTGCATTCCGGATCCTTTTGTTCTAGGACCAATCAGACTGCTGCATTCTGAATCCTATTGTTCTAGGACCAATCAGACTGCTGCCTTTTGGATCCTATTCAACTCAGTGCATAACACTGACTATTGGCTATGTTGACAGGGGCTGATGGGATCTGGAATTCACCATCTGGAGGTGAGTCACAAGCTCGCCAGCTCTACAATAGGCCCAGGGCTGTGTCCCACGTAAATGGATAATACATTTTCTGGGGAGCACAGCCGTAGCTCAGTCGTGGCCGTAAATATGTCCTGCTGCCCTGGAATGAGCCATATCTTATATGGTAAAACAAATGATGGCAGAGAGATGTATTTAGGCCACGAGCCCAGCTCTCTAGTCCTCCAAGTAAACATTTTACTTTTCTCTCCTTCCAGTCCGCAACCAAAATAGGAGAGCTCTGTCTAAAATTAACTAAGGCTCTTTCATCTTCAAGACGTTTAGATTTGTAATTTCAAGCGAGGCACAGAGAGAGAGGGGGTGGTGGTTCTTTTTCTTGCAACAAACTCCCAAGCATTTCTGCCCTTAACCAGATCAACAGGAGGCTTCACAAGTGGAAAATTGTTTTGTTTTGTTTTTAATCTCTGTCTATCCTCTTTTCTATAATTTTCAGATTACACTGGCCCAAGGTTTTGTTTGTTGGCGTTTGCAAGAAGCACCGTTGCAACCGTCTGGCCATCTATTAATACGCAAGGCATCAGCAAGAGCTCCCTACGGTGTGATGTTCTGAGCGAACTTTGATGGGGATGAAACAGAAAGATCTGGTTTTCTCAGACAGTCAAGGGGGAACTTCTCTCTCACATGCAAAAAAACCACATCTCTCTGAAAGGTGCGACGTTATCCTTCCTTAGAAAAGCTTCAAACCGCCTTTCAATTAGCGTTGCATTTGGAGAGGCTCTGTAAAATCTTTTGTGTCTTGTATTCTCAAATATGGGTCGTTTCCATCTGCATCCTAGAGGTACCCTCATGGGGGAATGAAGCTATCAGTGGTTACAGGTCACAGCGAACACATTCTGCCTCCCGTCTGAGGCAGCGTGCCTCTGAATCCCAGTTGTACATGTGAGGAGAGGGCTGCGGCGCTCATCTTCCATTTGTGGGCTTCCCACAGGCCTCTGGATGGCCACCATAGCTGTCAACCATCCCTTATTTGGCAGGAAACTCCCTTATCCCAGAGCCGTTTCCCACTGCTGTCCCTTATTGATGATGTCCCTTAAATTTCCCAGGTTTCAAAGGAAGCAGGGAGGAGGGAGGCTCCAACTGTGTTGCTTGGCTGCGTTGCTCACCCAATAAGGAGTCTAAGAATGACTGGGGGGTGGAGCTTGCATGCCTTGTGCCGATCAAATCGGCCACGTTGCCTGGGGACTCGCCTTTGCTCGGTGCTTCCCAGCGGAGAGGTGACAGCGGTTTTCCTTGCTGCATCCCCTTTGCCGGGTTGCTGCGCTGTGGGAATCACCGCTTGAGGCTTCGCTTGGCTGCTGGCTGGGCTTTCTGCCTTTGGCTCGGAGGGGCTCAGAAGTTGAACATACCTGTGTTCAGAATCAGATGGATACGTCATCGATGGCTCACTCACCCTTGCTGGGGAAAAGGTCTGTCTGGGGCGGGGGCACACGGTGGGGGGAAAGGAAAGGAGCTGGTTGAGTACAATGGCGGGCGGCGATCTCGTGGGAGGGGGGTGCTTTTGGATTTGTTTTGGAGGCTCCTTCGATTGACTGTTATGGGGGAAAGGAAAGGAGCTGGTTGACTAAAAACCCTTATTTTGGCTACTGATCCCTTATTTTCGAGGCTGCTGGTCCCTTATTTTCAAATCTGTAAGTTGACAGCTATGATGGCCACTGTGAGAGCAGAGTGCTGGACTAGATGGGCCATTGGCCTGATCTAGAAGGTTCTTCTTAGGTTATTACATTTAGCGAAAGAGTGGAGGACCCAGGGCCCTCCAAGTCCTGTCAACCCAAATTACAGGCCACGTTGGATGGAGCTGATGGGAACTGGGAGTCCAATGACATCTCAGCATCCTCAGGTTTCGCACCCCTGCTTTAAGGCAAACTGAGTCACGTGTATTACATCAAGGACAGCCCTTCCCATGAACCTGTGGCCCTTTAATGCCTCACATACAGGTGTCCATTGTTGCTGTTCCCATCCCATCTCCCAGCACATACACAATTTGTGTGTGTAAGAGAGAGAGAGAGGTAGAGAGAGATTGCATGATTCAAAGTCTCTGCCCTTGGGCATATACAAGATTCCAATGCCCCCACCCCAAATAAAGGGAGAAAAGGCCTCCTAATATTTTAAAAGGAGCCACATTGCCTTTTGGTCCTTTCTCATTCTACCTCTATAAAAAGAGATACAGTGGTACCTCAGGTTACATATGCTTCACGTTACATATGCTTCAGGTTACAGACTCCGCTAACCCAGAAATAGTGCTTCAGGTTAAGAACTTTGCTTCAGGATGAGAACAGAAATTGTGCTCCGGTGGCGCAGCAGCAGCAGGAGGCCCCATTAGCTAAAGTGGTGCTTCAGGTTAAGAACAGTTTCAGGTTAAGAACGGACCTCCAGAATGAAGTAAGTACTTAACCCGAGGTACCACTGTATAGCTGATTATTGGGATTGAATGGTTTACTGTTTAATTCCAGACCCTCCAAGTTTCTCTATTTTCCAAGGACGTCCCTGATTTAGAGAAGCCGTCCTGGTTTCTGATTTGATCCCAGAAAGTTCCACTTTTTCTTAGGATGTCCTTCTTTTCATCGGAGAAATGTTGGAGGGTATGGAGTTATCTGACTCCTGAGCCGCCTAAGGCAATCCTGTATAGGGATGAGTGGTTTTTAAATAAATTTTTATTGTTTTCTTATGTTTTTATATGTGTTGGAAGACACCCAGAGTAGCTGGGGCAGCCCAGTAAGATGTGTGGAGTATAAACAGTAAAATTATCATTATGGAATGGGAGGTCCCTATGTTCATCAGATAAATGTTGGCGGGCGTGTAATTCTATGTATTAATTCTATATATTAAATGCTTTGCATTAAATATAGGGTTGCCATAATGAGCATTTTGGCAAAGTTGTTGAACTTTTTTATTTTAATGGCTATAGCCAAAATCTACACTACCGTCATGAGCTGCCATACGTTTGGATTTTCCTGGACATTTCAGTAAATTCCGCCTGGACGCTGCTTAAGGGGCCTGAATAACAGCTATGGCAACCCTAATTAAATACCTAGAAGCAAATTCACAATAAGAATATCAACGATAAAAACCATTACCCAATTTCATATAGAAAACAATTATAATATTCTTTTCGAAAACATAAAAACTCTTTCCTATGTGAAAACAGTTAGAAACAATTCCCATGTGTAAAAAAAAGAAAGAAAAAGAGCTAAAGGCAATTCCATATGTAAAAAAACAATTCGAAATCCAAAGCATTTATAGATTGGGGTAGAGATTTCCACTTGTTGAAAGATGAATGTCTTCACCAGGTATAATGTGTTCCCTATACACATTTCTCCTCCTGTTCCCCTCAATGGCCCACCTGATTTATTTTATTTTAATTGTTTTTTTAAGCAGAGATGAAGAGAGAGGTGAATAAGGAGAGGGTTTCGCACTGGGGTGTCAAGTACAAAAAAACCCCAGTTGGTAATGATTTGAGCATATTTAAAATATATATCTATATTTTAAAATGCATCTGTGTTCTTAAAACTGATGGAAAGGCTTGTGGGGGGGGGGTTACAGAATAAAAAGAGAGAAAAGGAAGGGATGCATTGGGGCATTTGCAAGACAGAGGTGTTCTTAACCTGTTTGCAAGTCCTAGGACCATGTATTGCTGGTGGGGTGGGGGGTGGGGAGAAGCATAAAATTGAAATAAATGTGGGAGAGGAAAAGTGTGAGTCTGAGCAGAGCTTTTGGCCACCTGCCTGGGATGGATTGAACTTTCCCCTACAATCCTCGCTCCGGAACTTCCAAGCACAGTGCTGCTCTGATAATTTACTTCTAGAAAGGAAGAGCTGTCTGGTCCTCTTGGCAACATTTGCCAGCGTTTGTCCAGGCAGCATTATTATGCTGGGATGTTATCTTTGATTTGCAAAAGCAAAAGTGCTGTGTTCTCTTTCCAGCAATTGAAAAGACGGCAAAGTCTCTTGCATTTCCTCCTGAAGTCAAGCTGCTGGGTATTTTGTTCTCTCTCTCTCTCTCTCCCCTTCCCCCACCAGAGATCTCTTTGCCAGCAATGACAGATCTCTCCCTGGCTCTCTTGCCTTTGCTGACACCTGCTGATCAACGTGTGAGGCCAGATACTGCTAAGACTTGCATCTAAACTGGGGAGTTGTTCTGTGGCCTAAAGGGAACAGAGTGGAACATGGATTCTGGTTATCATAATGTGATCATAACATTCTGGTTATCTCCCGCTTGGACTACTGCAATGCGCTCTCCGTGGGGCTACCTTTGAAGATGACCTGGAAACTACAACTGATCCAGAATGCGGCAGCTAGACTGGTGACTGGGAGCGGCTGCCGAGACCACATAACACTGGTCCTGAAAGACCTACATTGGCTCCCAGTAAGTTCCCAAGCACAATTAGAAGTGTTGGTGCTTACCTTTAAAACCCTAAGCGGCCTCAGTCCAGTATACCTGAAGGAGTGTCTCCACCCACATCGTTCAGCCCAGACACTGAGATCCAGCGCTGAGGGCCTTCTGGTGGTTCCCTCACTGCAAGAAGCAAAGCTACAGGGAAACAGGCAGAGGGCCTTCTCAGTAGTGGCACCCGCCCTGTGGAACCCCCTCCCACCAGATATCAAATAGAACAACAACTACCAGACTTTTAGAAGACATCTGAAGGCAGCCCTGTTTAGGGAAGCTTTTAATGTTTGATGTATTACGATATTTTAATATTTTGTTGGAAGCATAATATTATTATTATTATGCTCTTGTTGTTACCATTTATTACTACAGGGGCGGGGAATTGAATCCGGTTGGGGGGTTAGACTCTTATACCCCACCCATCCACTCCTATGGGTCACGTTTGACAGGTGGACAGGGTAGCCATTTTCACCCCATGCGGTGCTTTGAAGCCCCGACAATCAGCTAATATTAGGGCTTCAAAGCGCACCACACAGCTCTCTACAAGCACCAATCCACTGGCTGATTTTCATGGCTTGCAAAGAGCCACGCAAGGCATTATGCACAGGGCTTTTAAGGAGCCACTAATCAGCTGACTTGGGTTGCCTCAAAGCCCATTTTTGGCCCAATCACATCTTTACCTTTCCTACACCTTACGATTATGAGACATTCGAGGTGTGGTTGTGGCTGGTTCAAAATGTCCTCATGGGCCTTGGTGTGATGGTTTATAAGCAATGGTCAGCAGAAGTGGTTTTCAAGCTGTGCTGAGCCAAAATATCTGCCCCAGCTGAATTTTGCTAGTTTTGGCTGGCTTCCAATATATATAAAAATATAACAAAACATCAAACATTTTTTAAAAATTTACTATACAGGACTGCCTTCAGATGTCTTCTAAAGCTTGTATAGTTACTTATCTCCTTGCCTTGGGGGTCAGACAACTCCATACCCTCCGTTATTTCTCTGGTGAAAACAGGGACATCCTAAAGAAAAGCAGGACATTCTGGAATCAAATAAAAAACTGGTGTGGCTTCTGTAAATCAGAGACTGTCCCTGGAAAATAGGGACACTTGTAGGGTCTGAAAATATAACATGGTTTTGCTTCTGTTCCCATTCCACCATGAGGCTTAACAGCTCTGTCACATTAC